TATGGAGAATTTTATAAATAATTGTTTAGTACGTACTACGTGTCTTTATCATGTAATTTATCATACCATTAAAATATATCGAATAATTAAAATTATAAACAAACATTTTATATAATTGATATAATAATTATTATTGACATGAATATTGCTCTTGAAACTAAAGTGAATTTGTTCAATATAACAAACCTTATCGGATACGTCAACCAAAGTGTAATCAGTATAATTTTCCAGAAGCGTCCTGTAAAAGTTCCTGATATTGCGAGCCTGGGTTGCCGGGTCCCTGTTGTAAGGAGGAACATCCATCACTAGGGGTTTCTTGCGAGTAGACTGTGTAGGGGGTGAGGGTGCTGGCTTCTTGGCTGGGGCAAAGTGTTTTAAATAGTATTTGGCAGTAGTTGGATATAATTGTTCAATAAAACCCGATTTACCACGAAGTTTCGGAAAAGGAGGTTCGCCGTAGATCAAGATTTTCATTGTGTAAGTGTTTACTGTTTACAATGTATTATTTAAAAGCATTCGATTGGGGTAAGGAAATGGCCGCGGTTATGCGGCGTTGTTATGTGTTTATTAACGGACAATTACCATGCTGGACAGTGGACAGCCGTGACGCTTTCAAAATTCTTCTTGGAACCTCTATAAAAGGCATCATGTAGCCTCCAGGCTCGACAAACCCCGACAAACCCCGACATATCCTTCAACAAACCCCGACAGACCCCGACAAACCCCGACAGACCCCGACAAACCCCGACAGACCCCGACAAACCCCGACAAACCCTGACAAACCCCGACATATCCCGACAAACCCTGACAAACCCCGACAAACCCCGACAAACCCTGACAAACCCCGACATATCCTGACAAACCCTGACAAACCCTGACATATCCCGACAAACCCTGACAAACCCCGACAGACCCCGACAAACCCCGACATATCCTGACAAACCCTGACAAACCCTGACATATCCCGACAAACCCTGACAGACCCCGACAAACCCCGACATATCCTGACAAACCCTGACAAACCCTGACATATCCCGACAAACCCTGACAAACCCCGACAGACCCCGACAAACCCCGACAGACCCCGACAAACCCCGACAAACCCTGACAAACCCTGACAAACCCCGACATATCCCGACAAACCCTGACAAACCCCGACAAACCCCGACAAACCCTGACAGACCCTGACAAACCCCGACAGACCCCGACTATCCCGACAAACCCTGACAAACCCCGACAGACCCCGACAAACCCAGACATATCCCGACAAACCCTGACAAACCCCGACAAAACCCCGACGTGTCGAGATGTGTCGTATCATGTCGGGCCCACCGGCTACATGATGCCTTATAAATAAATAAATTACCGTACGCGTATGGCAATAAAAAGAACAAAAATACGACTTAAGGATAACGATGAAGGTGGGGAAATGTTTATAGTTCAAAACACCATTAATTCCAGCATCAAGACTCTGAAAGATATCAACAATTTCAGTGGCTATTATAAAAATCTAAAAAACGTACCACCCCCATTCTTAGCAGCAGCAGCTCCGATATTCTCTTTGTTAGCCTCCTTCTCAAAAAGATGCCCGTTACTGATGTAGTCTCCAGACAGGGGCTCTGTTTCTGTCACACTCATCACTTCCCGCATGTCCTCGTCTGATGTGGTGAAGTAGTCGCTTGTTGTCTTGAACATTCCGTTCTGGGGAGGGAGCATTGTTTAGTTACGATAAATTGCAGACATTGACAAAACAATCTTTTGTACAAGTTGGGTAAATCCACTAATATTTAGCCACCTAATGCAATGTATGGTGTCATATTATATTGGGAAACTGATTTACAATTGCTTGAGGTTTGGTACGTTAAGCGAGATAAGTCTGATAACTCACTAACAAAATCATACAGTGCTTTAAAAATATACCTTATCATAGTCTTTAGAAGTAGGTCTCACCCCGACAACATCTCTGAGTCCAACTGGCCAGTCATTGTCATCACTAGAGCCGGAGTCAGAGTAGGAGTCCTCTGAAGCACTGCTGGAGTCTATGTCATCGTCAGATAGCAGATCGGGCACGTGACAGCTCATTACACGTGATCTAACTCATTGTGCTGTTACATTCATGATGCTATAATGAAGAAATGTAAGTTTTATTATTACAAAATATGCTGCAAATCATTTATTGATGGATTAGAATAGAAATACAAATCGTGCTCTATAACATGCATGTGAAATAACACAAGTATTTTTAGAATTGATTCTATTTTTATCGTTAAAATAAGATTATGTAAATTTATTGCATATTCAGTCCTAAACTCTTTAAATTTTATCAATTAAATCAACTTGATTTTATAATAGAAGTTGATATTGTGGCAAAACAAAAGGATCTCAAATTTATAAAAAATTACCATTAACAATTAAGGTTTAAACATTTTATTAAATACATTAAATATCAATTTAAAGATAAAGTTGTACTCACAATTTAAACAAAAAATGTAATGTCACTATCTCTATAACTTTTAAGGGGGCCGTTTTTTGACGATTTTTTGAGATACAAGATTTTCAAAATCGAATAAAAAATTGTAAGAGGCCTATCTCAAAATTCGACTTAAGTCAAATCTTATAAATGATCCCTAGAACATATCCTGAAAGTTTGAGGGTGATCGCTCAAAAATGTAGGAGAAGATAGATTTTTAGACCCGATTTTCAGAAAGCGCGATTGAAAATTGCTCCCGCAATACAATTACACATAAGCGCTGACCTTTGACCGGCGATAATTTTGGCTCTAGGAACAATATTTTTCCATGGGACCAAAAGCAGCTGATAGATATCACTCCCTCTATCAGAAACAACTATAGAATCGATTTCGAGATAATTTTGATAAAGACCCCCGGCCCCCCCCCCCCCCCGCCCCCCCGGCCCCCCCCCCCCCCCCCCCCCCCCCCCCCCCCCCCCCCCCCCCCCCCCCGGCCCCCCGGCCCCCCCCCCCCCCGGCCTCCTTAAGATATTGAATCAAAATACAAATGATGTCTGGAAAACTGCACAAAAAATATCGAAAACCGGATCAGATTACCATTCCATATAATAGAACCACGACAGTGCTATCGGGATCCGGATGTATGACCCCAAAGTGGAGTCTTATTTCGGAACAACTTTTTCACGTCATTACGGGTATATGGCCCCCAGAATATAGGTCGTTTTTTGAGCACTTAGAAACAGGTGTTAAAACTACTTCTAAGCATGTTTAGGGCTGTAAATATGTACATAATAACCCTTTAAATGTTTCTTGGGTAGTTGAAAATAATTATTAGGTTTTTAAGTGTATTTTTTTTTCACCTGTAAAAATACCATTTTTTAACAGGGCCCCCAGAATATAGGTCCAAACATCTGTTCCTAAGTTGTTCTAAAATTGTCACAGACAGTTATATGCAGTCAGAATATGTTGCTGAGACTGTATTGATGATGCCAATGGCTCCAGATACTAAATTGAAATGGTTTAGAGTATACTTAATAGCAAAAAATCAAAAACTACGGCCCCCAGAATATAGGTATGCAAAAATCGTCCTCAAATACTCCACCTTCATACATTTTGATGATGCCATCTCTTCAGCATATGTTCTTTAAAACTGTTTCTCATCACTACCCCACATTCCTTAATGCTCAGGGTGACAGAGAAAATGCAGAATCTTGGTCGCTATTTTTTTTTTAAAACCTATATTCTGGGGGCCATATACCCGTAATGAGTAAAATCTTTAATTTTACTAGTTAAAAAGCTTTCATGCACTCATTTAGTAGGGATCTTAACTAAATACTTAAATAAGATTGAAGGAGTGTCCCTAGATATGATTGAGGGGGGCTGTTTTTATCTGTATCAATACAATGTGCACCTCAATGACTGTAAATCAGACATTTTTGGCCGCCAAATTTTTTTAAAGGCCTAACTCAAAATTCTGTCCCAAAACTTAAGGTCATGAGACAATTCTACGTTGATTCTGAAAATTTCATGTGAAAATATTGAAACCCTATTGAGTTCTATTGTTTTGAGCGAAGTCAGTTTGAGATATGGGCGATTTTGTTCATTTTTAGCGATTATTTGAACACAGAATCCACAGTTAGGTAGATATTGAGCTGATAATCATAGAGAATGTGTAATATATGCTTACCTTCCATATAAAGTTGGTTTCATTCAAAAATATTGATATTTGACCAATTTATGGACCAAAATCGATCAAATTTGGTGCGTATGCCCAAATATGGGCATATGGTTTTTGTTTTTATCCCATAACTCGGCCAATTTTTATCCAATTTTGATAAAACTTGATATGTGGGTTCAGGAGACTAGTAGCTACAAGTAGAGCATCCCAAAGCATGGTTTTGGGCATGTTCAGGGTTTTTGACCAACCTATATTCTGGGGGTCGTATAGACCTATATTCTGGGGGCCCGTAAAATTGTGGTGGCCATAACTTTTTTCCAAATTGTCAGTTTGCAGATGTCTCGATGAAAAGATAGCTTAAAATAATACTTATACTCATACCAGTAGTCTTAATGGCATGTGTTGGACAGATTTTTGTCATGACAATTTTTCGCCATATTTACCCCTCTAGAAAATGACAACATCGTTTAAATCTTTCGCTGTCATGACCAAATATACCAAAATACCTCATGTAGGTCCAAAATTTTTATCCAGAAACATTAGTTACATGTTTTACTCCAACATAGCAGTAACAGATCCCATTAGTATCGCTTATCTTGGTTAGAACTGTATCCACTAACATGACCTATATTTTGGGGGCCACCTATATTCTGGGGGCCGTATATCGATTAACACAAATCTAACAGCAATTATTTTAATCTCAGCAGATTTATTAATATTTTGAATCTAAAATGGATCACTACTGAATAAATGAATGGCAGTAATAAAAAGCTTTTACAATCAAAGCTGATGTGATTATATAAAAATCCACTTTTAGAGTACTTTTTTTAATCAAATAATTTTACAAATTTTGATAAATAATAAATTTTTAAAATCGTTCAAGTATAGAGTTTAGTTTAGATCAATCAGTAATTTGTGTTTCAAAGTACTTTAAACTAAATGTACCCCTAAAGTTTGAACACTGCACTAGATCTTTCTTTTCAGATATTATTTTGTAGTTGCTTACAGATTTCGTTCAGCTCATTTTGCATTAATGCTAACTTGGCTAGCTTGGACACCTGAAACAGTACCAACGATTGTTAAACAGCTTGTCAAACAAATCAAAGATTGCTTCAATAACATGAAGGTAGCACATAATTTTGGCAATGCACCTAAATTCGACTTTTTCGAAATGATCAAAGAAAGATAAAAGATCGATGTTTGAGAACTATTAGAAAGAAAAAATTGGTAACTTAAAATTATAATTGCAATGCTACAAACCTGATTTTCCTCCAAAAGTTCTCCCTTCGCTAATCTCTCCTCCAACAACTTAGCCTCCCTAATCTGTTTTATCAGCTTCAATCTCTCCTTTTCCAGATCTTCCTTGGTCCCCTTCTCACTCATTCCAGGTTTTCTTAAAGTTGGTTGATCAGCATTCAAATAGCTCGCACCTCTTCCTCTACCAAATGAAGAATCTGGCTGACTATTGTTTCTGTCTATATGTTCCGGCGGGGACTGGACAACATAGCTTCCTGGTCCTGTGTTCTGGTTAGTGACATGGTAACCTTCTTGTGCCTGCATGGTAGCAGCTCGACCACGTCCGTAAGATCTTGGTGTTTTGTTCGATTCAGTTGAGTTGATTGAAGCAGACTTACTTGAGCTTGAAGATGGTTTTCGAAGTGCTTTCCCAGCTGCAGAGGTAACAAGAAGTGACGAACTTAGAGGTTCAGCTCTTTCAGGCCTTCCATTATTTTTCTTTTTACTGGAATGAGGCTTCCTTGGTAGGACTGGTTGAGAATATTCCAACTGATCCTGGTGATCAATCGACTCATACCTGGCAGGTACAGTTTTGCTGTATCCATCATAAGAAACCCCAGTATTATAACCACCCTTCCCACCTCCAGTCCCTTGTGCCATGGCAGACCATGTATTGGAACTGGACGAGAAAGAATTGACCACCTGATGCTCCTCCACCCTTTCTCCGTTCTCTGGAGATGAGTTGATGGGGAATGCTGTAGAAGGCATTTCTAAATCCCACTCATTTGATAGAGTAGCCTCGATCTCGACGGCCTGCGAGGGTGGGAGGTGAAGTCCAAAGTTCCGTTCAACCATCACCAGCTGAGGCTCAATTATGGCCTTCTTGTCACAATTCTGTAGATGTTCTTGAAATTGGGCCTTCAATATGACATGCTTTGCGTCGTATGGGCACTGAGAAAACTCTTTGTCTTTGTGGTTCTTTCGGCACTTGATAAGATGATACGGTAACCTCATCTGAGAGACCCTATGGGAGGAATCATAGGGACAAGTCTCTAGTTGCTCTCGGTCTGGATTGACAACAGCGTGCGACATAGCTAAAACAGAAAGATGACTGCATGTTAGAATCTAGATGACCTCCTCGTGACTTGTGGGTGCAATATAATTACTATAATTATTTAAGATGAAATATCAGATAAAATATTTACTGATCAGTAGATCAAGTAAGATACGCAATTGTAAAAATGCATATCCTATTTGATTCAACTTTCTCTCTTTTAAAATTGTTTTGAAAAGTTTTGGTAAATTGTGCAAGAAAAAATCTTTTACTTTAATTTTTCGAAGATGTTAGACATGTTTTAAAGTGCATGCAAGTAGACGTATAGGGGTGTTTCTGAGATCAGCATTGCTAGATTTATACAATGATACCAAACAATTGCTTTCATTATTTTTTAACTTTACTTTGCTTTTCTACACGGAAGTGGGGTCTGTTTTGGAGCTGGAGAGCATCTACTTCGAAGAAATTTAGACAAGTAACATCCGTCCAATAAAAAGCGAGACGAAAGTTTAGGAACCAATATTTCAGTAACAAATTTGAAAAAATGTAAGTTGGGTCCTAATTAGATCGCGTGCACGAGAGGTATACAACGGGTAGCAACAATTTTGTACCAAAAATTTTGTCTGACTAAGCTTATTAAGATCTTGTACAAATTATTTCAAAATATTTGATATTGTATGATCATGAGTTATAAGCATTTTCAGCAATAAATTACCCATTTTTCGTCTTTTTTGCTTGATTCGTGATGTCAATCTTTCGCAGCTCGGCAAGGCCCAGTACAGTGATTGCGAGAAAAATTATTTGATGCACGGCGCGGCCCTGAAGTGCATATGTATTGCGCTACAACCTTTTTACATTCTTGCAATGCACGTTGCACAGGGTAGGAAACCCACATTACATATAGTACATGTACACGTTTTAGTCTATGTCATAAACGCTTGTCATACGTTGTATGACGGCCGCCGCGCACGAAGTGCGCGGCTCCCCCTGTAGCGTCGAAGACGCTACAGTGAAGACGCTATAGTGAAGCGACCGTGGGGGTCACCACGTGATTCAAATAAACGCCATGAGTTGGCGCAGCAACTTTTCCCCTCCGGTTTTGATAAATTTGGTACCACAAATTGTTTAAAAATGTGAATAGAACAATTCTACCGTGTAGCAATTTTTGTTTAAAATGTTGTATACAGCCGAGTTGGACTGTTTTTGGCGCACCTATAATTTTCACAGTTCCAGTCATTTCATATTTAAAAATAATTGTTATAGCTCGTCGTAATCAACTCAGCGGGACAAAACTTTTAGTATCAATATTTTAAGTGTTAAGATTCAAACATTATTAAAGGAACATTATTTTTATCATTTTTAAATCTGAAATTTTGAAAAAATTTGTAAAAAGTTTTTAATTTGGTCTTAATCCGATTTATCAATAAATATTTATATAATAATTTTGTACCAAAAATTTTGTTTGACTAAGCTTATTATAAGATCTTGTACAAATTATTTCAAACTATTTGATATTGTTTGACTTTGAGTTTTGACATGCGTTGTATGACCCATGACCACGCACGAGTGCGCGACTCCACCTGTATCGTCAGGGCTGTATATTTCACCATATGCCATAGTAAAACGACCGTAGGGGTCACGACGTGATACAACTTTGAGTTATAGGCTTAATTGATTATGTCAATTCATCTAGCGGGAAGCTTGTAGCGCGATGCACTACTGGGTCGCGCGCGCATCAAATAATGCTTCTCGCAACCACAGTAGATCGGCGAGATGCACCACTGTGCCTCACCGAGCTGCGAAGGATTGACATCGTGAATCAAGCGGGAAGCATAATTGAGTGCGCGGCGCGGCCAAGTAACTGGTAACGCATTTCGCTACAACATGCAACTTGTAATACAAGTTATAGGCATTTTAAGCAAGAAATTACCCATTTTTCGTCCTTAAATTTTTACATTCTTGCAATGCACAGGATAGGAAGCCCACATATATAGTATTAATATTATATATATGTAGTCACAGTCACACGCTTTCGCCCCGATACCACTAATATAAGTGAAACGACAAAGAGCAAAGAGGGTCACGACGTGATACAAATAGTATGTACGCGTTCTTCACTCTTTAAGTAATTCTGACGGGATATATTTCAATATTTTTAAAAACCGTAACCCTTCGTTTTGTGCTTCGCGAGTCAAACACGAAAACTATAACCGTTGAAGAACTTATATTATATATAGATAATGAGAGAGAAACAACTGCAAGCCAGATCCAGGAACCAGACTCCGAAAGTCTAAGGGCGGTTCCCGGGGCTGTCGACCCAGGGTGCCATGCTTGTGGTAAATGTTATGTTTGTAAGCAAAATTTCCTGTCCCCCTGTTCCAATTTTAGTAGTCACCATTCTAAACAAGTTTTCCCTATAACTAAGTATATATCTTGTCAGAGTTATAACCTCATTTATTTAATGGAGTTTAAGACTTGTAAACAGTCGTATGTCGGTTATACTACCTCAAATCTCCCTAAGAGATTCTCTAACCATAAGAGTCACATAAAGAAAGGTATAAGAAGTTGTAAATTAGTTAACCATTTTTTAGATATTGATCATGATTTAGATTTTAGTACCATAGCCTCCTATAATTCCTCACTCAGTAAGCACCTTTCTGTCATTATAGTAGACGCTTTAGTATTTGAGCCTAATATTAGTAAAGCAGACAAAGAAAAGGCTATGGAAGCTAGAGAGGGGTTCTACCAGACCCAATTGAATTTGAAAACCCTTGAACGGTTTGGGGGTATGAACACCCTTGATAATAACCATCTACTTTTTAAATCTGCCGGAGCTTAGTTTTAGTTTTAGTATATTTTGTAGATTTTATTTAGTTATACCATTATTCCAGAGACGTGCATATTACATTTTTTACTTAAGTATAAATTTTACAGGTTTTTGTTGTGATTTTAAGTGATTTTCCGAGAATCAGTTATCAGTATTTAGATAAGAGATAAGATAAGAGTACATTTTAACGGCTTTCAGTTTCTTTTTTAAATTTCAGTTCATCAGATTTTCCCACTGCTTTTAGTTTGTATTTATTCTCAATTGTATATGATTCGTATTTGTTGTAGTTACTTTAATGATATAATTTCTCAGAATTGATGTAAATAAACGATGCAAAGACTTTCGAAGATCTAATCACAACCGCTTTCTTTTATTGTGTAGAAGTCCAGCCATGAAATATATATATATTAGGCATTCAATTTAGTAATTTACCCTATGAGTATTTCTGGCTGGTAAATCGAAGTTGAATTTCAACTTCGATTTACCAGCCAGAAATACTCATAGGGTAAATTACTAAATTCCTTGCTCTACATTTACGATCTTGAATTTTTCAAACTGGTGTGGCAGGTTGAACACTGCCAGTAAAGGGCTTTCGGGAGTTAGTCAGTAGTATATATTTCACGGTCAGTAGTATATATTTCTCGGCTGTAATCGGGTTTCCGTTTATCATTATGGGTTTGACAACGAAAACAATGCCTTGAAATTATATTGTTATCTTACCGGTTATTTGCTATGTGATTCAAATTCAAAAGTGGTGCACAAAATTCTTGGATGATTCCTATCTATTATGTATGGTTCCTTTAGTACAAAACAAACGCATTTTCTCAAATATGTTATCAAACTTTCATAATCACAATTTAGCAACAATACAAAATAAGAAGTGATAAATAACAAATAATGTAAGTTTGATACAAATACTGATGCCTCGGAAAATTTTAAAATCACAAGTCCTAATGGCTCAATAATATGATTCAGTTGTGCCAATTTATCATACTAGATGGCGTGTATCTACAAATATCTACAAATAAAAAACGTGTTAATTTCTTACTTACAAAATTTTGCGAACTTGTCAAAAATAAATTAAGTGTCTGCTATCTCAAAATTTTGAGACAGAAAAAATAAAACCGGCCTAGAAAAATAACTATTATGCAGTAATCATCACCAATGGTCAGAAAACTAACGTCCAATAATAACAATTTAAATCATAACAGTTTTAGTATCAAAAAAGTCAATACCCGTCCAATGTATTTTTGCTGAAAAGTGCACTGTGAAATCTACTTCTATATATAAATTCTTTAAAAACCGCACCCAGTCTTAATCAACATAATCCAGTCTCAGTATACATATTACTCATTATTGCTTTTGAGAGTATCAGTATTCACAGTATTAAAAACATTGTTGTCCAATATTTTTCTTTCTCATCTGAAAAATAAAAATACATCTCAGACTCTACATCTCAGGATCTATGAATCGGCTTTTATTACCAGTCTGAACTGTAACCTTTAGCAAGCTTTTCTCAATCAAAATTAGACGGCACGTGTGGGTCAGGACTTTCTCTAACATTATTAGTTGTGGCCAGCAGTGAGAGTCGTCTCGTTGGCTCAGTTCTCTCGTCCACGGCGGGGAGACCACCACTGCTCGTCAGATCCGTTCCGCTCATGTAACCCTGTCGGAGAAAGGGATGTGAATATTTATTATATTATTCCAACAATAGTTCAATATCATCGACCAAGGTTCTCTACTTTGTTAAAATTGTCCCTACAAGAACTGTCCCAAAAAAAACTGTCCCAACAAAAAATGTGCTCTAATTCTTAAAATGGTCACTAATTGAGCATGATTACTCATGCTGGTTAACACACGGACACTGATGATATTACTGATGATATTACTGATGATATTACTGATGATATTACTGATGATATTACTGATGATATTACTGATGATATTACTGATGATATTACTGATGATATTACTGATGATATTACTGATGATATTACTGATGATATTACTGATGATATTACTGATGATATTACTGATGATATTACTGATGATATTACTGATGGTATTACTGATGATATTACTGATGATATTACTGATGATATTACTGATGATATTACTGATGATATTACTGATGATATTACTGATGATATTACTGATGATATTACTGATGATATTACTGATGATATTACTGATGATATTACTGATGATATTACTGATGATATTACTGATGGTATTACTGATGATATTACTGATGATATTACTGATGATATTACTGATGATATTACTGATGATATTACTGATGATATTACTGATGGTATTACTGATGATATTACTGATGATATTACTGATGATATTACTGATGGTATTACTGATGATATTACTGATGATATTACTGATGATATTACTGATGATATTACTGATGATATTACTGATGATATTACTCACGCTAGGGCAGGGGGAGGAGCTATGCGGTTCATTAAAATGGTTTGGGAGTAGCCCGATAGTTCTCTCATCATCCTCGATCAGACCCGCTTTTTGAGAGTAACCTGAACAAATGATAGTTAGTTAGCTAGTTTCAACACTTGTATTGTAACTAACATTGCTCAATACGCTGGGAAATATTAGAGAACAAAAGCAACCGTTGAAAATTGACAACATTTATAATTTTATCCAGGATTGCTTGTTACAGACAAAACTGATAACAACGTGAAAATGAGTGTTAATGGTAGTGTTGCTGATGACGTGTTACTGATGAGTGTTGCTGATGACAGTGTTACTGATGACAGTGTTACTGATGACAGTGTTACTGATGACAGTGTTACTGATGACAGCGTTAATGATGACAGCGTTAATGATGACAGTGTTACTGATGACAGTGCTACTGATGACAGTGTTACTGATGACAGTGTTACTGATGACAGTGTTACTGATGACAGTGTTACTGATGACAGTGTTACTGATGACAGTGTTACTGATGACAGTGTTACTGATGACAGTGTTGCTGATGACAGTGTTGCTGATGACAGTGTTACTGATGACAGTGTTACTGATGACAGTGTTGCTGATGACAGTGTTACTGATGACAGTGTTGATGATGACAGCGTTAATGATGACAGTGTTGCTGATGACAGTATTACTGATGACAGTGTTACTGATGACAGCGTTAATGATGACAGTGTTGCTGATGACAGTATTGCTGATGATAGCGTGAAAGTGAGTGTTACTGATGACAGTGTTGCTGATGACAGCGTTAATGATGACAGTGTTGCTGATGACAGTGTTTATGATGACAGTGTCTTCCCAGTACCTGAACTGTCACTGTTGATGTTGAACTCGTTCTCGTAGATACTTGAAGGGAGAGGAGGAAGGTTTCTAGTTCTGTCAAGTGAAGGAAGCTGTTTGTTCCGGCTGGAAACTTTCGGTACAGAGAATATGGGGTTCTCACTTAAGGAGGCTGGAGTAGCAGAGGATGTGTCAGTCATTTGCGGTGATAATATTGGGGGGGGGGGGGGGGGGGGCAACCATATTAAAGTATATTAAAATGTAGGATTTTTCCCGATTTTGACCCGGGGATATTCTTTAATATACTTTAATATACCAACATTATACTTTAATATATCCCTATCTCCTTGGAGGCCTACATCAAAAACTGTTGCCCAAAATAAGCTTGAAATGCAATTCTTAATCGATTCCAAAAAGTTCTTGAAAAAATATTGAAAACTGATGGAGTTATTTCAATTTCAATTAAGTCATTTTGGCTAGTATTCCGAACCGATATATTATGTGCAATTTTCCCAATTTTGTTCATGGAGGTCTTTTTACTTAGTATCCACTATATTCAACAAACACTGAGTTATATCTTTCACATAGAGTTAGTCTCATTAAAAAATATTGAAATTTTATCGAATTTGGGCAAAAGCGAATTTAGGCAAAAGCGTATGCCCAAATATGGGCATATTTTTTAAGCTCATAGCTCAGCCAATTTTTGACCAATCTGGATGGAAATTCATGTACTAGTCCTAAAACAGGCTTATCTTGCGAATCTGAGTGATAAATATAGTTCATCATGTAAATCTTAACGAAGAATATAAATCTTCTAATTGTAGGCATATTAAAGTATATTAAAATTTAGGATTTTTTCCAATTTTGACCCGGGGATATACTTTAATATACTTTAATATGGTTGCCCCCCCCCCCCCCCCCCCCAATATAATTGTACGAGACAATTAAACACATGCTATTTGTCGGTGAAACCAACATTTTCTATAAATGCCCAAAATTCTTATTGTATTCAATATCAGAGTTCATATATATGGAAAAAACCAAGTTACTGTAACCACGCAAACCAACTTCGGTCGAAGTTAACACTGTAGTTAGGGCAAGAATTGCTGTTTATGGGTCAATCTGTGAACAAATTCGTAACAAAGGTTTGTCTACAGGAATGTGTTGTCCATAGTCCCAGGAACCACAAAAAAAACCGTCCAGCTGAAACTTTTGGGCAAAAATGTTTACAGTCATTTTTCTCCAGGAACCCAAACGCCCCACCCCTAATATTGGTTATTCGGCTCCCGAAGGTCTTGAGATCTCCATAGGGGTTGCAAAATGACCGCAATGGCCACATTATGGCAGGCGAATGATCGTTTCAGAACGATTGGAGCTTTATTTTTCGAAATAAATGGAATTTTTCGAAAAAAAATACACCAAATTATTTTTAACGCTTATTTCAAATCTATTTAAAAGCTCATCTACAAATAACAAATACAGTTAATCTAAAATGTGTTTTCTCAGTAAATACCATGACAATTATTAATACACATTCAACCAGAGTAGTATGTACCGTCGAATAGCTGTCTGGGGGTTGGTCAATAATCTGTTGTTTGTTAGTTAACCTTGATATTTGTTAATTGAAGTTATTTCCCGAGTAAGATTTGAAATACGCGTTAAAAATAATTTGGCGTATTTTTTTCGAAATTTCAATAAAATTGAGAAAAATTTCGAAAAATTCCATTTATTTCGAAAAATAAAGCCCCAATCGTTCTGAAACTATCATTCGCCTGCCATAATGTGGCCATTGTGGTCATTTTGCACCCCCTATGGAGATCTCAAGACCTTCGGGAGCCGAATAACCAATATTAGGGGTGGGGCGTTTGGGTTCCTGGAGAAAAATGACTATACAAATTTTTGCCCAAAAGTTTCAGCTGGACGGTTTTTTTTTGTGGTTCCTGGGACTATGGACAACACATTCCAGTAGACAAACCTTTGTTACGAATTTGTTCACAGAAAAATCTACTCTTGCCCTAACTACTGGTCGAAGTTGGGTGTTGGCTCCATGTTCGTGACAGTAAAGATGGAACCATATTTACAACCAATCTGTGATGATAGAAGTCTTACCTGAGGGAACTCTGTTAAGAGGGGGAAGTTCTTTACTAGTTCTATCCGGCATCAGGAATAGAGCAGGATTCTCATCTGGTGGTTCCACAGTCGGGATATCGTCATCACATTCTATACCACTGAAATTAAGGGTCGTGTTATAATGTGGTAGGTGTGGCGTGCGCACTAGATGCGTCAAGCGTGTGTTTATCTAGTTAAATATCTTTTAAACTCGATTGGTGAATGGTTTAATAATATTGGTAGTGAATGTCGATTTAGTAACTTCGTGGGTGTGCACTGTGCTGTTGCAGGGTATAATCAGATAATTGTAGTGGAAGTGGAATTAGTTAGTTACTTGATTATGGCTCTGAAAGGTTGAACAGATATGATTGGTGATAGGTGTTCTTGACAGAAAGGTTGAACAGATATGATCGGTGATAGGTGTTCTTGACAGAAAGGCTGAAGAGGTGTGATGGGTGAAGGGTGTTCACGAGAGAAAGGCTGAAGAGGTGTGATGGGTGAAGGGTGTTCACGCGAGAGGGCGTAGTGAGGTGAAGTATGCTCATGGGAGAGGGTATAACTGAAAGGTGAAGTGACAGAGTTGGGTGAAGGGTGCTCATGGGAGAGGGTGTGATATGATGCCATCCTCAGTTTCTTGGGAGTGTAGATTACATCCTGCCTGGATATAAGGGATGGTATTGGTTCGTTTAAAGATTTAATGAAGAAACTTTATGATGAAATGAATTTCGAAATTTGAAATGAGTGAAGTGATATTGATTGTCATTTGACAGATTTTGCATATTATGTGATGAGACAGAGAAATGAACTCCCTCAACCAGAAAATGACAACTGCATTATTAAGAAAATATATTATCATATTCAATATGTATAATCAAAAGATAAAATACACACCTCTCGTAGTCCATATCTTCGTCCTCACACGATTTAACTTCTCCGAATATGGACCTGGAAAAATAAGTGTAATAATCTGAATAAAGTTCAGGAAGTGCCGGAAGTTGTAACGAAACTTACAACTTCATTTCAGTTTATATATTTAGCAGTTACCATACACAGAAAATTCATAGAATCACAGAAATAAACATGTAAGAGCTAGAACAGAATCACAGAAATTACACATGAATCTAGTTAATCTATTAAATTACATAATTTTCACACAAGAAAATGTAACGAAGAACCCCAAAAGGGGAGAATCTATACATGATAGGTAAAGTAAAATACAGTATTTTCCAGATTCAATAGCTAGAACCCAAAATCCAGAATGGTCAAGAGATTAAAAACATAAAATAAGAGTAGTGTCGAAAAAGTTTTATATTAAGGAGTACGTTAAGTTGGGAGAAGGAGAAGAAAAGGACCAAGCTCCGAGGAAACTTACCGATGGTTGCACCGTCAGGATTTCTCATCATTACCATCCACCCGATTAATGACCCGAAGACAAATTACCATTTTACTGATAATTGAGTACAACCCAGATTTAAATGCTGACATATCACACACAGCTGCTGACATGCCAGTTAGTTACTCCGTTATAAATTAGGATATCAGCTAATTAACAATAAATCAGTGTATCTAAACAAATAACACAGTGGTTAATGAAATAATAAAATTTTCTTGGCAAATCTGACAAATGATTTAACAAACCATGATGGTCTGATGATGGATTAAAATAAATCTTAATTATTTTGCACTCTATTAAAATCCAATGAGAAGTAAAGAAATTAAAGAGTTCTCCTTAAAATTTTCGTTATAAAACTCTTAAATTGATTGTGTAGTAGTTTTATCGCAAAATCAATCAAAATTTTTAGCAAATTCTTCGTACACATTCATTCATGCAAATCTGATATATAATAGCCGTTAATACAACTCAAATAAAAACTGTTAAAAATTCTTCAATTCACTTTCGTCTGTTCACTGTCCTTGAATGAGTTTAATATTTCGCATTGTGATCTTGACCTAATTACTTAAAATGTTCTTTCTTTTCATCTATGAATTTTAGCAGAAGCTTTAGTGAGCGCAAACTGTACTGGCGGTCGAATCCTGCAGGCAGATCTACTTGTTAGCCCGGAATATGGTATGAAGTTCCGTTTTAAAACTCGACGGGCTCGTCACTGCACGGGCACTGGATGTGCACGTGTGGTAGCACGTGCACGTGCAGTACAAGCCACGTCACAGCACGTGTTATATACGGACCACGTACATTGCACGTGACATACGCGCACTGCACGTGGTTAACGTTTAAACAGTGCTTCACGAGCACGGGATAAGAAGGAGATGCGGTGCTTGCAGGATTCTAGTTCAACTCTTCTCTACTTCATAGAATTCAAAGTACTTAGCTTGTTTTGAAAAGAATTTAGCTTGAAGTTGTTTTGTAGGATCAAAGAAATATTCTAACAAAGAGATAAGCTGCAAACGCGTTTTCAGCTTGTTATGGTAAAGTTCGTAAGGATGTGCGCTAAAAGATACATGAAAAGGATGTCAGTTTGGGGCTTACTTCAAAAAGAGGAGGTTTTAAGAGAACTATTTTCTAGAAAGAGCATGAGAATTCCTCTATCTAAACGTATGTTTAAATTATAGAGAGATCAGATAAACCGGTCACAAAGTTTAATATAACTGTTATATGTGTATATACGGCAGTTATAAAATAGTCCAATATTATAATTATATCTCGGAATTTACTTCATATCAATTGTCAAATAAACCATCTACAATAGTACAATGTAGATTCTACATAAAATTAAGTTTTAAAATTCAAATGCTAAAAACTAAATATTAATTTCAAATACATGCTTCTTTAGCTAAACAAATAATGAAGGATATAACTATAATGCAGCCCCGACTATAGAGTTACTGATGAGCGGAGCTAGACATGGCTCTGAAAGGATAGATACGAACTGGAGGAGGTTCATTGCTGGTTCCGGCTACCTGGTATCTAGAGGTATGCACATTAACACTTGCTGTAACCATCTTGCAGGAGACCCAATTTTTAAACTTTTGACAAGTAAGTTTTGCGAATATTCGGGAAATGGTGCTGGAAAGATCAAAAATTGGGTCGCCCCCAGACTGATCTTTCTCGAACCACAGACAATTATCTAATTATAGAGCGAATTTGACAAAAAGGTTGCAATCAGCGTATACCCATTAGGGATAACTAATCGATAAGATGCTTTAATTAGATACGAACTGTGACAACACGAATCACGGTACGACACGAACAGCTATAAAGTGGGAAACGCGTGCACGCGCTGGTGCACGTGCACGTGCAGTGTGCCAGGGATATTATAAATAAAACTTACGCCTCGTTATCGTAGACGTGGTTCTCAAGGTCTCGCTCTGAATCTTCTACAGGAGTTGGAGGTGGTATCTTATCTTCTTCTGGGTGGAGCGCGTTCTTCCGCTTCCTCCTCCGGTAGAGTGCGAACAACATGACAGCCGTGCAGACTGCTATTATAAATACTAGCAGACTGCTGGCACTTGCTACTGTCACTACTTTTACTGCTGACTCTGAAAACAGGGGGTCATGATTACAAAATAGAATGCATCTAGCTTAAATTTAGCTTATACCTAGTTTACTTACTTTAGGTTACTTTAGGTTTACATCAATTAAAAAGAATAATTTAATCCAGAAACGTTAAAGAACCAGCTAAACGTGTAGTAACTTAGTAAGGTTCAGTTGATATGACTCACCAAGTACGAGTTCAGTTTCCATGATAACAGGTTCCCCGACACCATTACTAGCAACACACGAGTAGATACCTTGATCATCACTGGTAGTGATGTTTATCAGCACCAGACTACTTCCCGGCTCGTTGTATATCGTTACTACTGAACTTGTTTCGTCGCTAGGGAACTCCTTGCCTGACCGTCTCCAGGTGATGGTTGGTTTGGGAACTCCTGAGGCCTGACAGAGCAGCTCTATACTCTCTCCTGCTTTGTCTCCACCAGTTGCTACTATCAGAGTTATCTGCGCTGGTTCTGGTAGAGGAAGACACGGTTAGTACTTGTAATATAACGATTAAGGGATCAACCACGATGTGATGAATATGAGTTGAAGTTGAGCGTTTTGTGATGACACGAAATCTAGAGATGCTGGTCACTATGGTGAATGGTGAAGCTGGGGGAGAAGTGAAGATGGGAGAGAAGTGATAGTTGTTGGGTCTGTCAGCAGTGGAGTAAGCAAAAAGCAACAATCGGAAAGAGAACAAGCACCGCAACCTATCCAATATATTAATGTGTGAAGTGGGGCGGTTGTAATAAACTGATATGTATAGCTGATTGGTGACCAGTCCGACTTGCTAATTTGCTTGCAAAAGCGACAAAAAGGATCGATCAGGAATTGCACTGAATATGAAAAAAGGTTCTATTGGTCAGTAAGTGAGAGCGTGTGAAATATATCACAGCATGAGATGACAGTGATAAAGTGAAATGTGAGTGAAATAGTGAAATGTGAATGGGATAAGAAAGTTGCTACTCTTACCTCTTATTTGAAGGTAAGCAGGTTGAGATATTTGATCGCCCTGCGGGTACTCCACCTTACAGTGGTACGGTCCCATATCTTCTTCCGTTACACTCGATACTGACAATTTGTACTCCACAAACAGGTCCTTCTCCTCCTTTGTCATCTAGAAAATACAGTATTAGTGGTTCTGATACGGTGAAATTAAAACGGACAACAACTGTTGATCATTCTAGTGCTATCTAATCAACAAGTATGACTTTACGTAATGGCACATTGATGGGGTTTCCTTTGTAAATGAACAAATGCCTAGCCCCAAACCAAATTTATGGTCCAACTCGAATCTCCCTGATATTTCAGCTCCATAAAACTAAAGTTCGAATATTGATAGAAAATATACATTCTGGGCACTCATTAAACTATCTTATGTCCGAATCTTCTCTTAGGCTTCAACGGAATTCTTTATTTCCTCCAACACTTTTGTACGAGTTGTGATGATCTATTTTATTAAATACGGAACAGTACTAGTAGCATATTAAAACATTTAATATTCCAAATCATATTTACGATTTACAAAGGGTTACACAAGTATAAACGAGTACCCTTTGTACAAAAAAGGTTTTGTACTAAAAGGTTTTGTAGTTTGCATTAAAGCATTTAAATTTTAAACTATCGCATAGGAGGCACTCAGGCACTCTATAACTCTATAAAACTGTAGACTGTAGATAATCAATACTGCACTCAATCCTGGTAGGAATCCACCATTTATTGGTGTCGCATCAATAAATGCAATTTACTGAAACTCGAAGCCCGAATCTCAGTTGCATACAAATTACACATTCTGTGGTATGACTGTGAACAAATTACACCAGGTATTTGTGCGCATTATCACATTGTTACAATAATCAGTTCAGACGGGGGTGGTTTATGACTTTTGGGTTTTGGCTAATTATGTAAAATTCAGTAATTTCTTCATTTCTTTACCAATACAACCATCGTTTACTCAATATTCTCTAATATTTGATTTAAACTTTTGGCTTTTGTTTATCATGTAGATTACGTTCTTTTAAAAAAGCTCTTGAAGATTGCAGGAAATGGATCTAGTCACCGACCACTTCTGACTAATGAATATAATTAAAAGTAAATTTATGAAAATCATCACACCTGCGCTGCCGCACACTGTTAACTCAGATTGGCTAGTGGTATCAACTTATTATTTTGTAATCAACTTCTTAGGATAATCCATGTAAACAGAAATTAGTTGTGCCTTTTATCAACACCTGTTTGTATTTTGTAATCGTTCAGTCTGTAGTTTAGTTTGTTACCATGGTACTGTAACTATATTTTATAAAAGCAGTCAGTGTTAGCAACATTTGGTCTGTCGAGCCTGGGGCGTGTTCATTAACCAAGGTGAACACGTGCCGGGTGCCCACATGGGCTGAACACGTACCCACATGATCTACAACGGAATGGTCTACTTAAAACTTGAGAACAAATTAATGGTCTATTATACCGGCACCAATACAGCTGTGATTCAGATAGGAGCATTGAGGAACCAGCTGGGATCATTTTGGGATTAATATCGCAAATTTCTGTTATAGTTTTACGATCCAATCTTTGTAACGTAATTTCTATTCTTCAGTCATCGAAAACAAATTAAAAATCACTTATATCATCCAAATTATATAATATCAGAAAATAACTATATAAATCAGAAATAGGAAAAAAAAATCTCCATAATTTTGGTCAATCTTATTATAACGCTATAACGTGGATGGTTTGTGTAACACAGATAGTACCAGCTTGCTTCTCAACTCCAAACCAATATTGTCCAAGGTGCCTTTTGTTTGATAAACTTCTGTAATTATGTTGTTGCACTTTTCTTTGCAACAATATTGACGTCATTTTTTTCTCACGTCATTTTTTGTGCTGCATAGAATTATCAAGGGAGACATCTTGAAGAACTCTTCATATTTTCTCCAGAATCACTGAGACTATTTGCTCTTTTCCAAGGAAGTTGAATTGTGAGCGATGATGTAATGGTGGTACTTGGGCTACTTATCTAACATTTCATAGATTGTATTATATGAATGTTTTACGCAGTAAGGAAGGTCACTCGGTTTCCAAAATCTCACATTGAGTTGGAAAGGGTGAAATAAGAAAGGGGGAAAAGGCCCACAATGTTATCATTTATCATTCTGCAATCCGCTCCTAGTTTTTGCTGTTTTCTTCTAATCGGAATTTGTTTCAAATCAGAAGATGATCGGAGAGTTGACAATAATCTTCTCAGCTCTAGCTCTCCTTGCTAACACCCTTATCGTGGTAAGGGACCAGTCAATCACTTACTTTCCTACATTACAATAGCCTATCGTTGTGAATAAACAGGAACTTTTATTTCAAAATTTAAGTACGTTCCGTTTCAACTTTTCTAAGATTACTGTTGCCTATTTTTGTTGTTTTAATTTAATGAGTGTATAACGAACTTATTTAATAAATTATATAAAGAGCTCGAACCTCAAAAACAAATTTTTAAACATAGTTTTTATCCTTCCAGGTGGTAATTTTGTACCATCACAAGAAACTAACAGTGATGTTATCCTTCATTCTCAACCTGTTAATACTGGACGGAATATTCGCTCTGTTTGGGGCAACCTTCAGAGGTCCTGGAATTATCAATGAGGACTTTTATCAGGTTAATGTTATACGGTTAAGATACTTTTTGTTTGGAGAAAAAACTAAAAGGACTATTTGAAATACCGATTAGGGGCTAAAAGTAATCCTAGGCGTTTGAAAATGAAGTATCAGAAAAGGTCTCAAATTGCCGTTCCCCAGATGAACAGTGTGACCAGAGCTCTGTGTCCCATGTTACCCTACCTTCATAACCTGGATCCCTCCTCTCTGCTCCCTTGCTATCTTCCTCATCACTATCGACAGGTAAGGGAACCATCCATCCTACCTCACTTTCACTTTCACTTTCGCTTTCACTTTAATTTCACTTACACTTTCGACGGCTTTTTTCTTGAAATGTCTTGCAAATTTTACTTTTCAAAAGCGTTTATGGTATATTTTTATCTGAATCGGAGCCCTTATATCTTTAACAACAATATGGAATTTCAGATATGTTGCAATTAGACGACCACTCAGTTACGCCAGCATCATGACTCCCTGTACCTGTATCGTCCTTATAGCTACTACTTGGGCAAGTGTTTTACATCATTTCGTTCCAAAATTAAAATTCGTGGGATGTTTCGTCAAAACTTAACTGTTTAGCGTCACATTTTTCCAAACATTTTCACGTTATGTATTAAACCCAAACCCTAGCAGGCGATCCAGGTGATAAAGTTTATAGTGGAACTTTACCTGGACACCTACACAGATATCCTAAGTGAGAGATTTGACCCGACCCTGAAAAGATGCGAGTTTGACAGCAAGTTCTACATCTTCATCCTACACATCATCTACACCTACTACCCCGTTTCTTTGTTTGACTCCTCTATATTGGTATATTCTATGAGAATTTGGAAGAGTATGAAATAATGCAGGAAGCTATAACTCGGAATAAGGAGCCTGCTGTTAAGTAACGAGAATAACACTGTGAAGAGAAGGTATTAAGATAATAATAACCCTTGTCATCTCCATTACTGTTGTTTTTTTGTAGCCTGGTCCCCAATTTTTACAGCTTGGCTGAGGGGGAATTTGTCGTGTATCAGGCCGCGGGTTTAGAGTTACTATTGTATGTTTTATTTAATTAACTGTGGGATTCATTGTGTAAACGCTATGAGACACCGTTAATTTACAAATGTTACTTAACTGTGTGTTTAAAAGAATTGTTAATTCTAAGCTGTCGAAAGTAACGTTGGTTATCGACTTTTGGTTTTGAAAGTGGTTTTGTCTTACGTTTCTATTTGTTGTTCAAACACTCTCTTCGAACCATGAAACTTGTATCTTTGTCGTATAGTAGTAGTAACTAATGTGTAGTATTAACTAATGTGTAGTATAAACTAATGTGTAGTATTAACTAATGTGTAGTATTAACTAATGTGTAGTATCAACTAATGTGTAGTATTAACTAATGTGTAGTATTAACTAATGTGTAGTATTAACTAATGTGTAGCAGTAACTAATGTGTAGTATTAACTAATGTGTAGTAGTAACTAATGTGTAGTATTAACTAACGTGTTTCGTTTCGTACTTACAATATTGGTGGGAGGCGGTATAGATTATACACTATACAGTATACAAGTCACCATGTCCAAATTCACTTTATCTCACTGTGCCACCGATATGAAGCTACGTACGTTCGCAGAAAAGCTAATTAATTTCAGTTTCTAGCTAAAAGTAAGTCCACCTCCCGAAAAACAAAGCATACCATTTAACACTATGATTAGAAGTAGACACTTAATTAAGTAAACAAAAGCGATAAATTCGCTTAAAATTATGTAGAAAAATAATTCCACCTTTAATAGTAAAACTGTACGCTACGATGTGTCCCATGCGGTAGATAACAATTACACTGTCGTAGAAAATTATTTTCCATGTACAGACCCTCCTAACATCTGGACTAACATTATCTCCGTTTAAATGTAGTTCAATCATTTTTAGTCAGAATATAATACTAATAGTATGTGACAACTTCGTGCCCCCTTGGCGGGTCCCGGGGCGCTTATATTAGGATATTTTTAATATTAGTTGTTCAGTTTAGGTTGTGTTTGAGTGGTGTTCTCTAGGATATTCGCTTTTTGAGAAAACTGAATCTGCCAATTAAATAACTTAAAGCGCTGGAGGTTCCTAATTTAAAACAGCTAAATAACCACGGTTTGATTAGATTATACGGGTTTTAGTGCGGTTTAGAAAGTTAAAGTTAAGTTAAATGAACTGTATAATGTACAATTATGTTTGAGCACATATAATTTCCTTCATAAGAGGCAAACGTTGCTATTTCTGTGGGAGTAATTACTGTATCAGTGATTCAAGACTCTCTACCGGCAGCTTAAAGACCGCTACTATCCGATATTCAGCAAGCAGCTGTTATTTACAATCTTAACGCACTACACAATTCAATAATTCTTGGGTATTTTTGTCTCGTCTATATAATCATATTACTGATACATATAGTTATATTCCTGATACAGCTGTGCATGGTATACCTTACATTTAGCTGAGTGT